TGTGGACACATGGTAACTTGTTGGATGAAGGGAAATGTTCACAGGAGGACCTCAGGGAAGCGACTGATATTGTGGACATTTTAAAATTATTTTTTAGCAAGGAATTTGTTGGACAGATTGTAGCAGAAACAAACTCCATGTTAAACACATCTTACTTGATTATGTATTTTGTTTCAGTATGCTTATTTTTTTGTAGGTAAAATGAAAGGAATCGCCTTCATTAAAGACCCTGATGGCTATTGGATTGAAATTCTGAGTCCAGTGGGAATGAGAAAGCTACTTGAATAGTTTTGGTGCCTACAGGTGCTGTACATATAGGGATACAACACTCAACAGCCAGGTATAAAAAGAAGACATACAGATGTTCATGATAAAAAAGCCTTAGATTGTAAATAAGTCTGTGATGAACATAAATAATTACTGTTGTGCTTTAATACTTAATGACATAATATGGCATTTTGGTACTAAAGATAGGCAGGCTTATAAGTCAGATGTTTCTGCAGAATACTTGTGAAATATTTAGCAGAATTTACTTGGGTAGTCCTGTCTAGCTTTGTCATATTTATTCACTTCTCTTTAATCTTGGCACAACCCTTCCTCCTGGATATTTTACCAGCTCTTTCCTCTCTTTTTGCTCTTTTCAAATACTGATTGCATCATTGAGTATCTCAGACAGTGAGAGAGAGAAAAGAAAGATCGATTTCCATTAAATTTTAATTCTGATGCCCTTTGTATATTTTGCCTGTTCTTTTAACATGGCCAGATCATCATTATCTTTTATCTTCTTATTCTGTTAATAAATTTTAAACTCCTCTAGGAATTCCATTTCTAATTCTAACCTCGTTTTGCCCTCAATTCTTAAGAAGTTACATTAATTACTTGAATTTTGCTTGTGTTTCTTTTTGTAAATGTACAAGCTTTTTAAATATGTGTTAATATTGGTTTCACATATATCTTACAGATTGCTGTTATTTGATCTCTTTTCCATAATATTCTTTCATAATGTGATAAAATTGAGAACTACTTCATATTCTATTGATCTCTTCCATCAATTTTGTTTTCTGTATTTATTGCACTTCCCACATAAATATGTGTCCATCACTTCAATAATTTGGCATTTAATCTGTGAAAGGACAAATTGCATACAGATCTGACTGAAGAGAGAACTCAGAACCTTCCAAATGAGAGTCCATTTTCTTACCCTGAGACCACCACTACTGACACGCTATTGTTTTCTGTTTATTTCCTACTTCTGTGAGCCCCTCTTGATGGTCATATTTAAGGACTGCTCATTCTTCATTTGTCAGCTTATGCAACTTTTGTATTAATATTTCCTGTCATTACTTTGAAAATGGGTAGGTTTACCTATGTTTTGAATATTCTGATATTTAGGTTGTCATAAAGAAACAGAAGCCCTGCTGAGCCCATCTGATACTCAGTAAACTTCTCTATGCTTTTTGTGTAGTTCGTTTTTCTTTATTATATGAGCATCTGGAAGACTCTGTATCATATGATGAACCGTAGTCCATTATAACAGTAAAGAAATACTGAGTTAGTCTTGTTTACCCATGTACATAGTGTAAACAGTAGTAAAGTATTTCACATACATGCGGTTCTAACATATTCAGTGCTATATATTTAAGTTGTAGTTCTTTTTCTTGCATCTAAACAACTATGCATAAACAAACAAACATGTATTTTCAGTTGCAACAGTGAACATTTCCATAAAAAATAGGTACTTTTGCTTCTCAGAGCTTCAGTTGTTATCTGTGACAATTGGATGATTTTTGTTACACAATAGGTGCCATGTTATGTCAACTTTTTATATGAATGATGTTCACCATAATTAATGGTGAATATATTATCATTGTGCATTGAGAAGGTGATAGAAGTTAAGAAATTTAATATCATAGGAAACATTTTTGTATAGCATTTAAAAAGAAATACTAACCAAGAGTTCAAAATGTTGTATGAAAGAGTGAACAAGAATGACACAGGTCATGCCATTGGATTCATACATATTATGAAAGTGGGAAAAAAAGAAAATGTGTAGCATTAAAATCTTTGAAAGATTTTGGAGATTTTTATATGATTTCTATGTGTTTTATCTGGTTTGGACAAGAGAAAGTTAATTGAAATTACCATACAACCTCATATTTTCCTCTGACAGCAGGGATTTCTCATTCCTTCTATTGCCTTAAGGTGATTCATCGTGATGCACTTAAAATAGTCATCGTAATTTTAATCTTTATGTAGTTCACTTCTAAGTCCATACCATGTATTTGAATACTAATAAAAAGTCTGATTTCACTTTTTATGTATTTTATACAGTTGACTTCTTAAAATGCCTTTACATAGGATAGGGAAGTGTATGTGTTGAATTGGTAAGCTATGCTGGTAGTAGCATAGAAAGTGGCAGAATTTTTCTTGTCAGAAAGTCTACAGTGGATGGGATACAGAGGCAGTGAAATGGCAAACCCAGCATTTAACTTAACTGTGACAGACTAGTAACACGTCATGCTTCATTTACTCAAGAACCTTCATGATGATGATGATTTCTTGAAGCAAATATTTGTAGAAATGGGTTAAAGAATTATGGATGCCATCACAAGGTTTGTAATAATATGAATCCTTATAACTGTAATGTATAAACAGGGCAGAACCTTACCTCACTGTATTTAACCTTTTTGTGGTCATGATGCAGATATTTGTGTTTTGCTAGGTTCTCTGGATAGAGCAGGGTGCATGCAGAGTTCTAAATTTTCTCCTTATTTCTTAGGCATCATACTGACCATCGATGTAAGCTTGAAGCTAATACCATCTCTTGGCTTTGTCTCTGCCTTCAGACTACTTTGAGAATGTGCTGTCATTATATTCTGACAGGATGAATGGCATCTGGATGAAAATAGGTGGCCCATCAGTGTTGAAAGAAGTGCATAGCATAAGTAGTTACAAACATATTGGACATTTCTTAAGAAGTGAAAGAATATTAAAAATCCAGTCAGATAACTTCCTTGATTTTCTTTTTAATATTGAGAAAATAATTTGACAGGGTCACTGCACTTTGTATGTAAATACCAGCAGAAACGTGTATGATAAACCCTTCGTGATCAGATTTCCTGATAGAAGTGAATGGAAAGAGGGGTTTCAACCCGAAAGAAAGGGGAAAATAATCTGGTATACAGATGGTTTCAAGACAAAGGCACTGGAGCTGGGGTGTATTGATGGAACAGGGCGGAAACATAGTTTCAGTCTTGGTCAGTACACAACAATCAGATTTCCTGATAGAAGTGAATGGAAAGAGGAGTTTCAACCCGAAAGAAAGGGGGAAATAATCTGGTATACAGATGGTTTCAAGACAAAGGCACTGGAGCTGGGGTGTATTGATGGAACAGGGCGGAAACATAGTTTCAGTCTTGGTCAGTACACAACAATATTCCAGGCAGAAGTGTATGACATTAAGGCATGCGCAGTTGAGAATTTAGATAGAAACTATAAAAATAGGAACATATATATTCTATCAGATAGTCAAGCTACAATTAAAGCACTTGGTACATACCAAATGACTTCAAAATTGGTTTTGGATTGCCACCAGTCCCTCACACAACTGGCCAGACAATCAGAGTTCAGCTGATATGGGTGCTAGGCCATGAGAGCATTGCTGGGAATGAAACCGCAGATCAACTGGCAAGAACAGGATCTGAACAGCTGTTCATAGGACCTGAACCAGATGGTGGCATCTCAGTANTATCCTATGTGATTGTGAGGCCATAGCTTACTTAAGATTTCGTCATCTGGGTCTGTTCTTCGTGGATCCAAGTGACTTTTATGATGCTCCCATAAATAAAGTCCTACATTTCATTTAAAGTGTAGGATTAGTAAAGGGTTAATCCAAAGGGGAAGCACAAATAAATCATTGAAGGTTCCAGCAGAACTAATTGAAGCAGGAGGTGAAACATAACATTCAGAGAGCTATAATAAATAAGAACTGCCTAAGCAGTGGAAAGAATTTATTATTATACATATTTACAAGAAGGGTTATAAAACTGAATTACCAAGGCATATAAAGATTACAAACTTTGTGTAAAATTGTATTGGGCCCCTTAGAAAGAGCTCTTTCTAAGGAGCCCAACTGAGTAGGTGTCTTCGTTCCTCACCTGAAGATGGAGCCAGATCCAGTTTCTGAAACATCGTGTTTTCTATTTCCTATAATTCCGGACGATGGAAGAAATCTAAAAGCCAGTAATTCTGTCAGCAAATGATTTGTTCAGGATTTTCCCCCATGCCATTTTTCAGAGAACTAACCCCTTTGTGTGTGTTGGTTGAGATTTCAGTTCCATCTAGAAGTGCATTTAAGGCTTCATCATGAATTGACTAACACTTATTTTATTAGTTTAGTTAGTTAGTTATTGGAGAGGGTGGGTTTCCCCATGCACTTAGACCTGTAGTGGTCCATTGTGCTTCCCTCTATGATTTCTACCAGCCTCTATATCCTACTGGTATTGGTGCTTACTATCAGTCCCACTCAGCCAGCGAGACCGGCTCTACTGGCTGAGAAGTATCTATAATGCTTCCCCCATCTACCGGAGGTATTAGTGACTGCTGTTGGGCGGCAAACGTCCGCAATTTTGCTCAGTGACCTCCTTTGGAGGTATGAGGTTCTTTTACATGCCATAAAGCTACGACACGGGACCCACGGCTTAAAGTCCCTCCCGGAGGACTTGTTCCCTGAATTTTTCCGCCCTTAAAAATTCGACGACCTCCGCCGGGTATTTGAACCCGCGTACTACGAGTCATGGGGTGGGAACATTACCTCTAGATTACGGAGGCCGCTTTTTATTAGTTTAACAATATATCCTGAATTACATAGGCTATACAGTATCAAAGAGACACTTGTGAGTTACTGCATATTGACCCAATTTCATGCATTGCAAATTTTTTAGAGTGCATCCTGAAAAACCACAGGAAGGGGAAATATAACAGAATATTAATGTGCTTAGTTAGTGTTTCTATTGCACTTTATTTCAGAGCAATAAAAGGCTGAAAGTATGTAACACAAAGTTCACAGAATCAGGTTGCAGTCAAAAGTCAGCATGTACATTAAAATTTACTTTCCACTTTATGCTGATTAAATGGCCATGTCCTGCATTTTAAGAAACTAGTAATGGTTGTAGTTTATTGTTATTGTGATCAACAGCATTTAGTAGGAATTCAATCCAACTGTTGTCTTCTTCATTAGTGTAGTGACTCTGTTTCACCATATGCAAGAGGGCTTGTATTTGAGTCTTGAGCACAGCAGCCTGAAAAAAAAAGGTAACATTAAAGATTCAAATAGTTAAATATGTGTAGCAACTTTGAAAAGCAATGAGTGGCAAAATAACTTACATCAGTTACAGAAATACATAAGAAATGGAATAAATTAAATCAAAGGTACAGGTAAGGTTGAAGCATTTTATATAATGTTTTCATCATATGCAGTATTTTACCTATGGTTTCTGTCCCCAATATTACAACTTATAAGAGTTCACTGGATTTCAGAATCTTATCTAATAGTATAATATGAAGCTATGATGTGCCAGTAATGCACAATATATCTCATTTTACAAAAAGCATGTGTTGCTTTAAAATGGTTTGTTAAGGAGAGGGATGCAATATGATAATGAATCTCCCATTACTAAATCTCTAATCCACTATGCTGTATAAAAATTCTAAGAATAATCAAGTCTTTCCCCAGCTGAATAATTGCTTTTCTCATATAGTACCACAGGAATTTTAGTTTGCAAAAGGAACACAAAATCTGTCCACGATGTCAAAACAAAGGCATCTCAAACCCAAGAGATTATATTTAGAAATAGGCAGTTTTGCTATATGCCACAGAGACGCCAGACTACACATCTGTCTCTCTTAAAAAGTATGATATGCAAAGAATTTTAATTACAGATATGTGAATAGTTTAAAATTTTAATTATTTGCATTTCTTTTAATGAACTGAAACTAAGAGCATATGAGTATCCCTTCCCTTGTTCTCTTTACTGGTCACTACCAGGGATACCCCAATCAGACCACTTTCCAGAATTCTACTGGATGTCTTGAGGAGTTTTACACACAAATAGTAGGCACATTCTTATTACTTTCAATACTACTGCATGGCAGGAACGGTAATGCACAGCAAAATTATATCCTTGAATGACCACAAAATAATTGAATCCTATGAATACTATGTTGTCAATAGTCACTTTTATTGTAGCTATACAGAGCAGAATCCTTGAGAAGCTAACAGTCATGCAGGTAATTAAGAAAATTTTCCACCCTGTGTGGAAGCCAAAGGTTTATTACGATGTTCTAAAGGTTCCGTTAGTGGACCTTATTCAGAACCTGAGGAATTCAGTTCACATTTTCAAATCATATTTAAGATGCATTTGAATATTATCCTCCCATCTATGCCAACAGTTCTCTCCTAGGTGGTTTCCTTCCCTTTAAATCAGACAAGAATTATGTACACATTTTACATTTCTGCCATGTCTACTAATATCCTGCCAATTTCATCTTTGAATGACCTCTTTGCATGTCATAAACACATAAAGGTATCCGCTAGTGGCGTAAATGTACACTTACAGTACTTCTGACTGCATCTTTGTTCATGGGAGGATACAAAGACGAGATCAGATCATCCACTGCAGGACTGATTTTTTTAACTCCGGACACCAGATCGTCCAATTGTGAAACTTGCTGTTCTGTTTCAGATTTTCCTTTCATTCGCAAAGCTGTGTCTGTTCTCTTCAAGGATGAGCGTGCAGCTTTTACCAACCCAATGCAAGGAAATAGCAACTCCCGATCTTTGTGATTCCAAGTCTTATTGTTGTCACTTTGGTCTGCTGCAACCTCCTTGAATTAAGATAAATTTTTAGTGATCTAGGTATTCAGTTTAATTACTATTAAAATCATTTATGTGGTTCAGTAAATATATTTATGCTCAAGCAACACGTGTTATAATTTAATCACTGAGGAAACTGACTCAAATAGCTGTGCTTCTGACATAACTCAGAAGAAGCTTGGTTTGAATACTGGCCAGCACACTAACTATCTTGATGTTACTTGGCCACAGTTACTTCCACACATCTTTTCTAATTCATTAATCATTCTGATAGTGTCACTGAATAAACATTAAATAAAGCAAATTAAAATTTAAGGGTGATTAAACTGACCAGTAATTATCATGGAATATTACTGCTATTGTCATACAAAATTTTATCTAATATTCTTCTCTCAAGGTTAAGTCCATACATAGATTAAGTTATTGGGGTTCATCAGCATGGATTTTGACATAAAAGATCAACTACTGATCAGATCTTTTGCATTCATCAGGTACTGAAGCAAAAATGGGAGTATAATGAGACAGTACACCAGCTATTCGTAGACTTCAAGAAAGCCTATGATGCATCTGGCAGGGAAATATTGTACAATATTCTGATAGAGCTGATATTTGTCCGATAATTTTCCTACCCAGAATTGTCTAAAACAAGGAGCTGCTTTATCGTCACTGTTTTTCAACTCTGGTTGCCATTAGGAAGGTCAAGGAAAATTGGGTGGGACTGAAATTAAAAGGGACGCATCAGCTGTTGATCTATGCTGATGTCGTGAATCTCTGGGTTATAATACATATACCATAAAGAAAAACACACAAACTTTAACTTAAGCTAGTAAGGAGGATGGTCTAGATGTAAACAAATAAACTCCATGGTTTCAGTCCGCAAGTGAACTATACCGATGTAGCCTATCATAGACATGTATATTTTATACTTTGTTATATCCAGTCAGATTTATATCGTATGATTAAATATCTATGTAAATAGATCCCTGAAAGACACATTAAATATGAATATAAATAGAAGACCAAGACATAGATGGGTGAACAATATAAAAATGGACCTTAGAGAGATAATGGTATGGACTGGATTGATCTGGCTCAGGATAGGGACCAGTGGAGGGCTCTTGTGAACATGGTACTGAACCTCTGGATTCCATAAAATGCTGGGAATTTCTTCAGTAGCTGCACAATTGCCGGCTTCTCAAGAAGGGCTTGGCTCCATGACTGAGTGAAATTAAAATTTAATCTAATTGAAGATCCTCGTTATGTAATTTTCTCCAGAGCTTTTGTGTTTGTGGTTTATTTTATGATGCCGTATCTCAGACTATATAGTGCTGAATGGTAGGATGACTGGTGAATAACAAACTGAATCAGGCATTGTCAGGTACTATTCCAGTATTTTTCTGGAATGAGAAGAACACAAGTAATCTCAGTCAGGAAAGCTGGTGTCCCAGTTGAGATTTGAATCAAGCACCTCCAGCTTTCATCTAGCATTTAATAAATGGATGAGTTCTGATCAGTTCTTGGTCTAATACACCAGAATCCAGTCTGATGGCACCAGCTTATTTCACCTATACAAGGAGGTAACATTACATGAAGTAGTTGATCTTAAGGTATTGCATTCCACAAACCAATTAGATCAGCTCATGGTATTTTTCCTGGAACTGACACAGCCAAAGAGTCAGTCAATTAGTATAGCATTTCATACAATAGATTTTATCAAGTATGACAGCTCATGTTTAGAAGAAAGAACATGCTCATAATTTATACCTGTGGTCATTTGAAGGTCATTAGAGGGGGTAATGTTTTCCTGTGCAATTGCATTTACCCCCAAATAACCTTAGCATTTCTAGCAAAAGTTTTTTGTGTCATGGCCTGGCACTCAGTAGGTTGAAAACAACATGCCTATATATAAACCACACAAAAATGAATAAACAGTAATATAAATGTTAGGAGATGTTGAGTAGTCATATTATGTTTCCTCACATTCTGTCAAAGGACTGAATGTGCGTAAATGTCCATTTAGGGCCTTAAGCAAATTACCTTTAAAATTGAGAAAACTAAACCTAAATCAAAATTTCTTCACAGAATTTAATGTTTGTCTACCATACTAAGTCTCGGTGGGATTGAGAAGTAAACAGGTAGTCTTGATTTAGTGGCAGATGGGTAGTTGAATTAACCTGAAGAAACTAGTGTTTTTTATATGAGCATAGGTGATACTGGCGATGCAATAAAATACATTCCTTAAAGACTCAAAAATGAAATCCCTGATGTGCTAACGTCTGTATGTAGCTGTGTGAAGTTATGTTTCCAGAGGAGGAAAATCACAGATTTGCATGATTAATACAGTACCTCTTCTATTTCCTGCACTGCATCTAGCACAAGACCTTCTTCTCTCTGCATGATCTTGCAAGTTACTTGGAAATTATTCTGAGGTAAACTTTCCACGGCTTCACATGCATCCCACACACGTCCTGTTAGCATCAATCTGTTTTTCTGTCTATGGAGAGTAAGTTATATGAAAGTGGGTGAACAAAGTTATGACTGAAAATGATGGCCACAGACAAATGCAATTTCTCACACTGGGTGGACAAAATGAGAAGACAAATGAAAATATTATAAAAAAAGTATCAGCAAAGCTGATAACCTAATTGTGCTTAGCTCTTGAAAATATTATTTTATAATCAGTAAACAGTAACAGCAAACTGAAGTACTATGCAACATACTAATTTCAGCTTACTAGAACTAATGCCAGAACTTCACCCTTCAATTTGAAAGCCTTCTTGCCAGCTCCTAGAAAATGTCTTTCTTATGTATTTTAAAACTTCAATAAACATGATCAAATTCAGTCCACAACATTCATGACATTGTCTTCCAACACAAAATTCAAAATTTTTAAGAACTTCACATACCTTTACAGTGTCCTATTTTTGTTGCTTACCAGTGGCTTCAGCAAATATTGATATCCAACTTTATTTTACTTAGTTGAAAAGTTAAATCTATGTCAAAACTACCAGATACTCACGCCTTATCTCCTTTTTCTTGCAAAGACAAGACTACAGTGGTCAGCGACTCCATGATTTGTAACACTGTCATGTTTACTTCTTTCCGCAACATCAAGCCACAACATTTTGGCAGACTATAAAACGTTGACAACATTTCTAGGTATGCAGTCTCTAATACTTTCAACATTTCACGTAACTCTGTCACACTAGGTAATGGAGGCTTGGAGAAAGTCAAGCACAGTTTTGTCACTTCATTTGATATGCACTTAGCTGCAACACCTTAAAAAGTAAAGACATCTAATATATCATTTATAACATTATTTTCTGTTACTGTGTTAACTGAATGGAATACAGAAGGGAGGAAATGGTGGTTTATTTAAGGCACTATCCCAGTATGTCTCCAAAGACTTTAACTAGTGATCATTCAACATAGCTGGTTCTATGGCTGGAAATGATCAGGTACTTCCCACATGAAGGTAAAGTGCATTCCCGCTGAACTAAACCTACTCAGAATGATCTACAGTTTCATTCCTCCCACCTGCCACTACTTCAGATTACCTGTTCAGTTTCCAGTTCCAATCACAAATTTCAAGCTGAATCATGAAAGTTGGTGGCCCTGGAGATCACTAAACATACCACATTTATCCAACTATAAGATTATCTGAGATACAAAATAATCATCCTTTATGTGGAAACTTTTAAGAAGAAACAATTTTATTACTTATCGAGGAATATTAGGTACAGTTCTCTGACATAACATTTTCCCAGCTTTTCATGGCTTGTTTTTGGTATATGGAATTCACAGAAGTGGATAAGTTTCATGTTAATGTGGTGGTAATGGTAATGAAAATTGAATGATTACTGCTTTTCAAATATTTTCATATCAATTCAATAAACTATGGATATACAAGTTTTGAGATATACCACAGTTGCCAGATGTCTGTTTTGTTTATTAAGTAGTCAAATCATTAGCACACATAGATAAAGTAACAAAATGCACATGTTGGTGTCTAGGCTAGTGTTACAATACATACGCAATTTGAGCCAGAAATCATCAAGGTTAAATTCACAGTCTGACTTATCCATTCCTTCTCCACCTGTGAATAAGTAGGACGACTTGTAATAATAAAACAGTATTGGTAAGACAAGTCACAGTTATTTAAATTAATGTTTCTGTTTTTGTAAGATTTTTAATAAGATGATTCAGACAGGTATTTGAACACAGCATGAACAAAGGAAACAGCTGGCAAAAGAACTGAAAAAGTATTAACTGTGGGAGAAATGAGATCAAGACTTTCTGCCCATGAACTCATATAATGCAGAAACTGCTGAAAGAAGAATAACTCCGTACAATCCCCCGACCTTTTCTTTCCCTTGAAGATCCCAATGGGTCATCTTGGATAGCGTTTCCTTAAACTTCAACAACATATTTATTATGATTAATGTCATATGTAATTGTTTAAGAGGGTTACATGGGTTCCACAGCAGCAGATATTCACAAATTTCAGAGCACTAAAGAAATCAAGTCCAAATTTTGCACATTAAACTTATTCAAAAATAAGTTTGGTACTGAAATTTCGTTACCACAGAATAGGTTTGTACTGATATTGCTGGGTTATTCAGTGAGGTAATGACATTCTTACAAAAATGATGGTTTATACTCATAACAATCCACAATGTCATTAGTGAAAACAAAGTGTATCATGCTATTAAACTATTCAACAGATTGCCCATAACCATTCAAAGCCTTAAAGAGGATAGAATTAGTTTTAAAAATAGGCTGTTTTTATATCTTATGAATAATTCCTTTTATACAGTTTCTGAATATGTGGAGCATAACATAAACAATTAGTTTTAATTATTCTGTTATCTGTGTGTTTGTTTAAATTTTGTATGACGACCTTCATGTCCATTTGTTTGGACTTGTGAAATGAAACGAAATGTATGTATATACTCGTATGTGGTGAAGTTATCATTAAAATTGAGTAAACTACATAGCAGGTGTCAGTGTTATAGAAACAATCTAAGCAAAACTGAAATTTTGAAAATATGTTACCTAATACACAAAAGAAAATTAATATACACCACCTTCCAATTGCTGCAAAGCTTGTTGCATATTACCAATAACCACATGAAATACGTTCCTCAAACTTTCGGCCATCGTTATTTGATTTAACATTTACTTCTATTAGATGATTAATTAAGACGATACTGTTCTTCCTGGGCTTCAAGTTCATAATAAACCCTACTAAAATATTATTCCAAACAAACATCAAGAAATACTTCCATCCTTTATAGACAGCACACTTTCGTTAGTTCGTTAGAAACGAAGCGATATTTTAACCGTCTGTGGGAAATTAATTTTCAAGCATGAGCTGTAGTTTGCTATAGTGCCATAGTGGACGATAGTGGCTATGGTGGCTATGGTGGCTATAGTCGTTGAGCGGTCGTTGAGAGATGTATGGACGTTTGGCAGTGTTTTGTAGAAGAGGGAGTGTGTGTATATCTTGCTCATTTGGAAAATCGTTTGATTTGCAGCGGCGAATATTTCTGGTGACAAAGGTAGTTTCTAGAATGCAAGCACATGTATTATTTCAGATAAATTAAAGAGTAATTATATAGTTTCGTCTCTGGAAGCATTTTTATGTGATTAGGTTAGTCTGGAGTTTTTATTTCATAAACCAAATGTGAATTTTCAAAGTATAGTTATGTGTGTTTTTTTTTCTTCAGAATTTCATTTAAACGTGTGTATATTAAGACATGATTTATTTTGTTTGAAATTGTGGTGTAGTAATATACCCTGTACATCTCGTTGAAGTTACAGGTATGGTTACGTATTTTGTTCATTAAGCAGTATATGGATACATAATGTTTTGTGCAGTGTTGCGGAATTGCAAAGTCAGTTTAGGCTGGGTTTCAGGTGGTTAGTTGTAGGTAGAAATTCTGCCATTTATTTTTATGATGTAAGTCGGAAAAAGAATCCCTAATTGTATTCAATCGAAGAGAAGCATATTTGCTCGGTCGTTTATCCTTGAATGTTGAAGTTGATGGCTTGAAAAAGAGTATACTTTTATTGCCAGCGGCTTGATGTATTGTAAAATATCATGGGCATACTGCCAGTTGCTCATTCTTTCAGACAGAAAACATGATGTGGGTATCTGGATATACTGTAGGTCAGGGCTTGACAGATCATCGTGGGATGTAGAAGCCAGCTCAGAAATTTAGGAACCAGNCAGTTGAATTCATTTAGTTTCAACGCGTTTACTGGGTTTACCGTGACTTCTGACGCCATCTTGATGGATACTCGAAACTTCCCTTATTTACGATTTTCACTTCAACTTTACTCAAAAACGTCTGAACTAACCTGTCCTGGGCCCATAACCTGTTGGCAGAGTGCGGGAATCGGGAACAAATATTCCAACGACCAGTTTAGAATATAAACTGTATTTGTGACTTGAAAAATACAATAGTAGGAATACATATGTCTCGCCTTTCCAGTATCCAACTCAGAAGTGTTCAGGTTACACAAAAAAACAAAAGACAATCTCTACAACATCTGTTTCAGAAGAATATATCGAACACACTTTCAAGGGTACCAACTTTTGATTTGCAAAAACCATCTCACAACACTAATTTTGTGTCATTTAGAGAATTATGTTGCAGTGACTAAATGACCCTTATACCTTTCACTATTTCAGTCATGATTTAGCTTTGTGTATGTGTAAGACATCATAAGATACCAGTGCATGTGTATAGTATGTTATTTATCTGTCTGTCAGTGGCTCTACATCCCTTTGTTGGACCTTGGCTGCTTTTACAGTTTCTTAATCTTTTACATGGTAGGAGTCCATGGCCAGGGGATCAGCTCATTGCAAGGCCACTGCCTGCACATGGGACTGCACACAAACAGAATAAAAACATAGACATCCATACCTCAAGTGGGATTGAAACCCATGATCCCAGTGTTTGAGTGAACGAAGACATCTCATTCCTTAGACCCAGCCGTCACTATGACATAATCTGTTATACAAAAGAAAAACAAATCAGCGTTGTAATATTTATAATAACTGGTTCAGAACAGTTTATTATATTCTGGTGTAAAACAACAAGTAAGCTAGACTATCTTTGAAGAAAGCAGTCTTCTGGGATTTGGCACCATGTATATGTGGTGCCAAATCCCAGAAGACTGCTTTCTTCATAGTCACCGCCGTGAAAGCCTCAAATCATACATAGACTATCTTTACTTCCACTTTTGTGGCCTAGAACATGCCTTGTAGTTCTGCAGCTGAAGTCCCATTGATCTACAGCCTTTGCAGGATCAGTTCCATCAGTGATGGTCCATTTGTGTTATACATTCTCAGGTAACATAAGCTTTCTTCTTGCACAGAATGATTTTAATTTATATTTTAATGAGATTCATTAAGCTAAATCCAGGTCCACAACACACAGTGGAGGCAGGGAGCACACAAACTGTTAACAACTTCTGTCATTCACTTTCTTTTTTCTTCCAAGGATTTTAAATTCATGCCACTCAATACAAAGAAGTGACAGACAGTCTCATTCTTGTTTAATGATGAAAATTGTTTCTTATAATGCTAAGCCAATGATATCACCTCCCTGTCACCATAACATTCTAGGGTGCTTCCTGTTCGCCAGCAAAATTATCAGAAATTCCTGTGGCTTTTTCAGTGACTCAGAAATTGTTGTTCCAGGCCTTTCACTTCATGTAACATTAAATTTTGCTTCCCAGATTCAGTGGAAGACCTAGCAGTGTTATTTAATCCATGCAGTTGCATATTGTGATAGATTCCATAAGTGATGTGTTTTTACAAATTGATCTTTCTCTTCTGGACTGAATTTAAGTCATTCAGTTAATGTTGTTGCATTCTTTACATGTCATTCAGCAGTAGCTGGGAAAAGCTCCTCTCATTGAAAGATAAGTGAAAGGTTCTTGATTGTTCCTAAGTTGTGTAGCAGAATATGGGGTATGTGAATAAATTTGAAATGTGAATTGTCTAAGCAAACCCTTAGTAACAGCAGATGTGCAGATGTGCAATGACACATTTCCAGTCTTTCACAAGAGCAGTGAGAGCTCCTACTTTGCTGGTCACCCCCATCTTACATTATGTAAATATTACAATTTCTGTATGCTGCATTGAGGGCATTCATCTACTTGCATTAGTTGCCACATTCTCTATGGAAAATTTGTTCAGTTTGTTCAATTTATTTATGTTCCGTAAATCCAGATACAGGTAGACACCATAGGATATGGAACAAGTCAAACACAATATGAATACAACGACATCTGTACAATAAGTCTAATTGAAAAATTAATAAGATTGCAGTGTGGGAACATCCCACATTATCACGCATTTCTGCAACGCTCGCTCTTCACATCACTTTTCACCATCACGCGCGCTAACCAATCAGATTGCTTCAAACGATCGCATTTATACTACGCTCGGCGATAGCCCGCGTCTACACCATTACGCGCGCTAGCCAATCAATTCTTGCTCCTCACTTTCGAGTTTGGCTCCGCCCCACCGACCAGCGTATAAAAAGGAGCGACCCCAGAGTCGAGTTATGCAGTTTAATTCAGTTCGATTCAGTTCACATCAGCAAGCAACTTCAGCCAGCAGGCTTCGTCGCCAGCGCTCGGTCTTCGGAAACATCGGCAGGCTGCGCCAGGCACGACTGCCTCGGCCGTCCAGCGCTCTCACACCCGACTCACTGGGGCACCGCGCCTGGACTCGCCGGTGGTCGTGTTACGGTCTGACTCACTAGGCATCTGGCGTAGCCACTGCCTCATGGCTCCCACGACCGCGCTCAACGACTAGCCTTTTCACTAGCCATTCACCGCAACCAGCCTTTCTCCTTACCGGCGCGCGCCGCGCTACCTCTCCGATCAACCATCTCAGCAGCCATGGTCCTTTTCAGGGCCAACAAATTGTTCCGAAGAAGTGGGTTGTCATAGGAGTATGACAAAGACACACGTTGACAAGAGTGCCCCACAGCAGATTACATAAATATAGGTTAATTGTACTTATGCACCACAATTTGAGCCTGTTAACAGAAACAATGTCAATGAGTACATTGCTAATAAGTAATAAGATTATAAATTACATAGATACAAGTTAATTATACTTGTGCATCACATTTTGAACCTTTTGTCAAAACAGTGTCAATGAGTATATCGTTAAAGGTTTTAAAATATGTAAGTAAAAGTAGAAGCAAGCAAGCAAGCAAGCAGTCTCCATTCATACATTCATAGATCCCTATAAGGGATACCTGTAGACTGGTAGAAATGCTACAGCTTCTTTAGAGCAGAATCAAAATCATTACTATATTTCCCAATTTTTGATTGAACTCAGGACATGTAAATTTAGCATATGTTCTTCAAGTTTCTTTACAGTAGTTTCCATGTAGCCATCTGCAGTAGCATTTTCCAGAGTTGTGGCTACAGAAGAATGTCGCTCTATTGTCCTTCATGAATTTAACATACAAAATTACCTCTTCAGCACATTTCTTTGCATTTGATGCATGTATCATTAAACGCCTAGATTAGATATTCTTTATTTCACATTTTACTTCCTATCACCCTAGTCATTTTTGAGAAGAGTCTTTTAATTTTTTTTTCATTGTTCTCACATAATTCTGTTCCCAGTTTTGTGGTTAACTGTAATAGCTCACTGAATATAGAAAATCATACATTATTCATGGCTATAACAGTGCTTGTAAGTTACTGGACATTTTTGCATCCATTTTTTCCATGCATGTTGCCAAGACTCATAGCTTTTGAGACCTGTAGTGAATTATTGGCTTTCACACAATTTTGGTGCTGGAATGATCTGTCATGCCAGTTGAATATCTCCAGTTTGAAAGGCCCCACAAAATCTTTCACTGTCTTTGAGTTTTGGTTTGTGATGCTGGGAAAGGAGGTGCATACCTTACAACTTGCTGTTCCTGTGTCCTGAAGGAATGGAAGCCAAGTAAGTTTCTTGCACCAGTCTTCAATAAATTTTTTCTCCTGGCTGCTGGAGGTGTATGTGCTGAAGATGAAACATCTGCCTACAAACTAGCTTGTTGCACCTAAGTTTCACTTGTGGATGTTTCATGTACAAGTACATATTTGCATTCACTGACCAACAAAAAATATTTTGTCTTTGTAATGCTGATCATATTGTAAAAAGCTTCTTTTTTTTTTTTTCATTGGATGCATCCTGTTGTGTGTATTATACAAATATCTTTTTATTAGAATCAACAATGAGATGATCAAGGTCAGTATTACCTTAGCCCATGGCATTAGTGCATTATTATTTAGTATTTATTGTTTGACCGGTGACCGTTTTACGTGTGTATGTCTGTTCTGGTGGGAAGACAGATTGCAACTCAATTTGCAAATGCAATTGTTAATCTTGCTTGCTTTAAATATTCTTGTTTCTCTATTCTTCCCACACTTTTCAATTTTTGGGTATGTTTGACACAAACAATCTTCAGAGTCAGAATACTCCATGTTGAGCACAATACTGACTCTGTAAGACAAAATACGTAGGTCATTTCAGAAATAATGCACACAATTTTTTGTTTACGTCCATGTTTATTTTATTTTAATATCTCTTTACAGTCCTTCAATATAGTCCCCCTGCTTCTCAGTGACCAAGTCCCAACGTGTGGGAAGCTTTACTATTCCATCCAGGACACCATATTTGTTTATCTGTCAAATGGCTCAGGTACTGCAGCAGAAAGCTCTTCCAGAGAAGGAAAACGACAGCCTCGCATAAGTTGTTTCAACTTTGGGAATAAGTCAAAGTCTGGTGGACTCATGTCTGGGCTGTAGGAAGCATGAGGCAACACCTCCCAACCGTATTGGCGCAGCTTTTCTGTTACGACATTCCCGATGTGCAGGCGAGCGTTGTCATGGAGAATGATCGGCTCAGCCTCGAGCAACTGAGGTCGGTTTTGTGCATTTTGCATAAAGTCACGATAATAAACTGCTGTGACACTTTTCCCGCACGGAACTCTGTCTGTCATGATGCTTCCTTGGAGATCATAAGCAAAGAACACCATTTGTTTGACCTTTGATTGAGATCGTCAAAATTTTTTTGGTCGTGGTGAAGATGGACCTCTCCACTCGTTGGACTGTGATTTGAACTCCGGTTCAAAGCACTGTGGATTTCTGTCAGGTTTTTTCCATTGTAAAGTTTCGATCTTAATGTACAACCCTTGATCTTCAACAGTCACAATACCCGAGAACCGTGCAAGCTCCATTTCTAACTCACGTTATTTAAGAACAGAGTACATTATAAATGAAACAAAATAACGCGCTTCTTTCTCAAGCCCTGAACTGTAACTGACGTGAGGCTCACTGTTGTTGCATCATCTAATCTGCAGTGTTGCCAACCTGTGTTTTATTTATGAAATGACCCATGTATATAATGGCACAAATGACAGTCCTCCTGACAAACCCAGCAGCCAGTGGCTGTAAAATAATTACATGCTGGTTGCATTTATACACTCTCTTTCAAATCCACAAAATCAGACTGTGTTGTTTTAAACAGAATACTGAACCTTGTTTGATGACAGAAATGACAGTGTTGCTGACAGCAGGTCATCATCTTTCCCTTGATAAACATGCTATAACATGATATAAATACATATGTTAAAATTATGCCAAACAAGAGATGTTGAAGCAGGATTTTCAAACTAAAAAACAGAGGAAATTTATGATAACTGCTTCACAAAATCTAGGGGCCACAGCAAAATTTCTGCTGTGGCGACCTGGTGCCTGGGATTTGTCTAGCCCTGATGTAGGTTACTGATGGTACTTGATCACCTAGTGCTTCTGCGTTGGTGTACAGCCTATAGTTATATCCTGAGTTTCTGTCACTTTCTTCAGTTCTTCCAGTGAGAGTATTCTAAATGGGCCTCAACTGCAATGAGATGACCAGATTTGTGCAGTTATTGTGTGAACTGAGAAGGTTTTGTTGTGGTGCTTAGATTGAGGTAGGATGAACATCAGGCCATGGAATCCATGTGCTGTTCTGTAAATACATTGGCCAGCCTAGCAATGGAAATGCTTTCTTTGGATGCTGTGTATAATCTGGTTATGTCAGTGTAAAGTATGTGATGTGTGTAGAAGTAGGTGCATGCTAGGCACAGTCGTGAAAGTGTCTACCCAGGATTTACAACATACATAAATATTAGACAACTTCATTTGCTTTAACCAGACATCTCAGAAAAGTCATTAGCATTTCTGCTTTATATTTGGGAAGTCTATCATTTGACATTATGTAATTTTAATGGTTGAAAGTGTAGTTAAATGAACTGTTAGTAAATAAGTACAAATTAGTTAATTTGTCGATGGTAGACTTGCGGTTATCCAGCATGGGTGGGAATGGGGTATGTCAGTTACATGACTTGTCAGTTGCATGAGAGAACCCCAATGCAAAATAACATATTTTCAGTTTTGTTCATGCATGGGAGTCTTTCTGGCTGACACAGTGGATTTATGAGTGAAAGATTTCAGGTACATGTACTATACTAGTGAAACATCATCACAAATTAAACAGGTCTCTCCCTTAATGGTATTTGTATAAGGGTGGACAGTTGCTAGTTCTGCTAGTGGCAGTTGGGAGAACTACTGTATAATAGATGAATGTCTGCACATCACAAATTTGTTTTTGGATAACTGTATAAAATTGTTAAATTTCTTTTAAGTTTTTGTGTTCAATGAAAATTCTAGATGCTTGGGTTCCAGATAATTTTGGAGTTCACTGTGTGTAACTAGCAGTGTAAGTGATGAAACCAGCCTGAAAGGTTCTTGTGAACGTATGCATAAGGTATAGAACGTTAATTGTGTGTGCTTATTGAAGTTGCAACTCNTAATAATAATAATAATAATAATAATTTATTATTTAATGATCTATAGAGATGAAATAAATAAATAAATATAAATTTCTAAAAATTTTAAATTTGATAAATAAGTTATTTCTTTGTTATTTAAATACAGAACTAGTCTATGAATTAATCTAGACCCTCTTCCCCGAAATTGTATTGTTTGCTCTTTTCCATGTTTATTATGAAATTATTTCTGAAGAACCAATTTTCTAATTGTTTCATAACTTTTGCGATTTTTTCTTTGAAGACATGAGATTTTTTCAATGTGTCATCCACGAATAACACCACCTTAGCTTCTTGAACAGCTTGGGGGAAATCATTTATATTTTTCTTCATGCTCCACCCTTCATTTCTTAAAAACATCGAAACTTTGTGACCCCACTGCAGTTAAGAAACCACTTCAAGTTACAGGTCTGCATGCTGGCCGTGATATTCGTATTAAACATAATCTTACATCACATGCAAAATGTAAATGCTACCCTTTATATGCTCCACTCTGGAATGTAATGATTCCTGCTTTCTGTTTTGCTGTGTAGGTCATAGGTCAGGATGGCCAGAAACTGTGTTTAAGAGACATTGCCTCATTTTTCAATTTTGAAAACTGATTTTGGCTGCTGGGTTACATCTTGAGTGTACAAATACTTTAAATTATGTTTATTTACATTGTTTGCTTCAGCATCAGAAAATTTTGCATGAAAGGTCACTGAATGTTGTTAAGACATCATTATTTCAACATGAATGTAATCCACCCTGCTGTTAGAAGAGAGCAATTAATGCCATAATTATGGATCATAGACATTGCTTTTGTTTAACTTTAGTTATTTAACTAGTTTAATTGTTCTTAAACTGGATTTTGTGTGATAGCCAAAGAGGCAATTGTCTATTAAAATTATAAGTTATGAAAATGTTTAAATCTCAAGTTAATGATGTGTCATTAATGAGTATCAGATAAAGATTTAAACCTGGTCTTTTCATCACTATTCAATCATTCATTCATTCATTTCTATTTTATCCTGTAGATCAAAATACATTGTTGTAGGACATGTCCATCTATATTATTATCATAATAATACATTAATGATTATGGTATAAACTTTTTAGAAATATAGCTTATTCTATGCATAAGCTTATCAGTAGCCAGTATTACATAATTCTTCGTTGAGATAATCTTCTGTTGAATAATAACATCCCTTTACAATATTATATTTAAGCATCTTGTTACACTCACACAATATATATGAGACAAACTCCGTCTTAAGTGCAGCAATTTAATTGTAGTTCTTTCTTCTTCCCTTCCTCCACACTACATGTTTCGGCCCTAAATGGCCATCATCAGGTGTGTATTCTTACGTAGCTGCTACACTGCCCGTAGTTTAAAATTTAAAATCACCAGTCTTTCCAATTGTATGTATGTATAAAATCTTTGTTAACCTACACGCGTCAATTTGATTTCTAAAATTGGCACTTTTTTAAAACTTCAATTCAAATTAAAATGTCTCTACATTTTCTGTTCTTTTTCTTTTTCCAATTTTTTTTTTTAATTAAAATTTTCTCGGGGTATACGCCCTATGTCTATAGTGCTGCAGCGGCCACTTCTTGTTTTATCGCTACTCAGGTATTGTTCTGTGTAGGCTCTCTCTATGTGTGTCGCTGCTTATCTTTAATACGTGTGCTCCCTTACTAAATAAGTTCTTCAATTCTTTTTTAAACTGGTTGCTGTTACCTGTTCGTTTTATGTTGTTAAGCAATTTGTTATAAAAGATAAACCTATCACAGATGGTCCACTGTTATGAAGTTCTAAATTGGGTACATGCCTATGATAGTTACTATTTCTATTGTTATGTGTATGTACTTGTTTATTTACAGCACAATCACACTTTTGTTTTGCATATAAGATTGTTTTCTGAATGTATAGTGAATATAATGTTAATATTATGGTTTTAAACACATTGTTTGTATCATAAGCTCTACTTACGTTGTTTAAGTCCAGCACTTTTACAATTCTGAACTTTTTATCACTGTCCAGCACTAATTTTTCAAACTTCAGGATGCAGGCCTTGTGCAGAATACTGAAGATGATAAGAAAAATGGACATTTCTGTGTCTTGTAAAGTAATGTTTGCAGGTTTCCTGCTGAAGTATTTTTTTTTTTTTGTCAAGTAAGAGTAATGCACAGATGAACATATTTGTTGGTACACGTGCAAACAGTTACACAAGATGATATTTTGAAGTATTTTTTAATTTTTATAAAACATCTCTTAAAGTTTACATGTCATTCCTTTTGACCTATTATTCTTGTAGTTTTGTGTGCATGTCAAGAGGTCGTCTGTAGCAATCTCCACTTTTTTCAATAAGAAATTGATTATAAATCTGGTACAGTTGTAGCACTGAGTGGCTCATACAGTAAATATAGATACTCATAGTGTACTGAATAGCATTTAACACTGTCTTGATTATCAGTAGAACTGGTACCATTACTGTAACTTCATAATTGAATGGGATATTAATATTTTTGTTCATTGTTAGTAGGAGGACCAAATAATGTGGTTAACCGAGTGTCATGTGGAGACCTCAGAGAGTGTCATGTTGGGATGGAGGTAGAACTCTGGGGCCGTGTCCAATTTCAGCGTGTTGGACGATTCCTCACTTTGAGGGATCAGTATGGCATGACCCAGGTTGTTGCTCCAGATGAAGTAAGTTCATTGTTGAGTAGAGGAATTTTGATCAGTTCTAATTATTGCAAGATATTTCCAGTTTCTTTGTATTTTTACAATGTTTAACATGATCTTCCATAATGGATTACTCGTCTGTATTTGGCCATATTTGCTGATTTTCTGTAAGTCAGAAGAAGCAGTGTCATGTAACACTTTGAAATATATTAATAGTTCAGGTAGGCATTAGTCTTGTTGATATTAAGAAGTCATATTGGAGAAGGGAAACTAATATATTCCCTCTTTTCCATGACAGTTGTTACCATGCTAAAGTCATATGATTACTCGTAATTATGCAGTGTCCCAGGCGGGAAGGTCACTATTCTGGGAAGTCATCATATCAGTCATTCCAAGCAGAAGAGTGTATATGTACATATGTTCTGTTCAGAAAAGTTTCCGAGATAGAGCTATTTCATGTTACCACCCACATAAAGGAATGGCAAGATGCACTCAGACAAGCAGCACATCATGGCCTCGCATGAGTTGCAAAGTGCATTGACGTTGACAGTGATTAGGGACTAGCTCTATCGATTGGGTCCAACTGAATAGGTTCCACCTAAAGATGGAGAACAAATCCAGTCTCTGAAACATTATGTGTTGTTTTAAATAAAAATAGGATTTTGGATGATGTCCAGAAACACAATAATTGTATTAATATACCATGGCCACAGACTTTCATATCTTAAGTTACTGAGAGGTTACTGTAATCCTCTGATATTTAAATTGAATAATTTATTTCACTAGAGTCACTCATATGTTTGTGTTCATGTTATTTTCCATCTGTTAATAGGTTTATGCATATGTGAGGTGTCTTCAGATAGTTCCAAAAGTTATGGCATGGAACAGCAGTGCACAGTCACATTAGGTGTTTCTGTGACCTTGCAACCTGGCTGCTAGTTATGCAAGCCATTTTGTTCCAAGTAGATTGGACATTCCATTTAGTTTTTGTAACCAGTTTTGTGATCGAGTGTGTTGCTGTCTAGTTGCCTTTAGTGTGGAGTTGATAAAGGAACAAAGGACTTGTGTTAAATTCTGTTTTAATTTAAGGAAAACAGCTGCAGAAACCCACAATAGTTACATGAAACTTACAGTGATGATGCCTTGAATCAAACAATGACCTATGAATGGATCATATGTTTTAAAGATGGAAGAGCTTCATCAGATGATGATGATGAGCTGTCTGGCCAACCTTCAGCTACAAGAATCGGACCTCTGCTTGACCAGATGAAAAATATTATCCACAGAAGTCTTGACCTACTGTCCAAGAAGTTGCAGGAGAGATTGGAATATCCACTGATTCATGCCACACAATTTTAACAGAAGGTTTATGAATGCATTGGGTCTCACCAGAATTTGTGCCAAGACTCTTGACTGATGATCAGAAATTGCAAAGATTTTCCATGTGTGAAAATCTTCTCCAAATATAATTACTGGTGATGTCATGTGGGTTTACCAAACAACAGTCCACACACTGCCTTGCCCCAAGAAAGCATGACAGGTGCGCTTGCAAATAAAAGCAGTGCAGCTTGTTTGCCTATTCTATGAACTCAGAATTTCCCTTAAAGGAAGATTTCAGACAGTGGAAGACATATTTTTCCTATATTACAGCCATCTACACAGCAAAGAAAGCAAGGATATCTTCAATGAAGATAGCAGATATTGGTATATATCTTACTTGTTTAATATAAACATATAATATGATTGAAATTAATAGTTAATGATATTTCCACTTTATTCAATGTGTTGACGGCTATAGTATGAGATAAATATTATAGGCACAACAGGATGCAAGCTATAAAGTTTGAGTGGAAGACATCTCTAATGTCACAGATGACTTGAAGGTGTTGCCACAAACATCCTTCGAACATTGCTTCCAAAAGTGGAAAAGGCAGAGGGAGAGCTGCATTGCTGCACAAGGGGACAATTTTGAACAGGATAATACAAGGTGGTTCAAATATGACCGGGACTTTTTTTTTAACCATAATTGCCAAACACTTACTTGCACATGTCAGTCTTCAACATACTCCCCTCCGGAGTCAACACATTTTTTCCAACGTTCTGGAAGCATCCTGGTGCCCTTTTCAAAATAGGCTTGTGGTTGGTGGTGTATCCACTCCCGAACAGTCTGGATGATGGCGGCATTGTCCACAAACCACATGCCTTGCAAGTCTGATTTGAGCCTTCTGAACAGGTAGAAATCACTTGGAGCGAAATCAGAACTGTACTGCAGATGTGTCAGAAGGTTCCATTTCAATTTCCGGAGGGTTTCCATTGTTGTTTTGGCCGTATGGGGGCGTGCATTTTCTTGAAGGAAGGCTACATGCTTTCCACCTGCCTTCCACTTGGATCAAAATGTTTCCTTCATGTCTGTTGCCAGAAGGTCTGAGTAATAAGCTGCAGTGACCGTTCTGGCATCTCTCAGAAAGTCTACATGGATAACCCGCTGCCAGTCCCAGAAGAACGTTGCCATCACTTTTCCTGCCGAACGGCTCCACCGCGCTCTCTTGGGTTTGGGAGAACTGGTATGCTGCCACTCGCGTGATGACTGCTGGGACTCGGGAATGAAGTAGTGCACCGATGTTTCATCGATGGTCACTATAGACTTCGAAAATGCATCACCTTCATCTTCAAACTGCTGTAGGAGACGACTGGCAGCTTGCAAGCGCACCATTTTGTTCACATCCGTCAAAGTGCATGGTACCCACCGTGCATTCACCTTGCGATAATGCAGGTGGTATTTCACAATGTCTTGTACACTACCAACACTGATGGACAGCATTGCTCCAAGTTCCTTGATAGTGATGAGCCTATTCTCACAAATAAGTTCATCTTGCATGATCAGTGTTTGGCTCGGTGACGGATGTTCGCGGCCGACGATCATGTGGTTCATTCTCCACGCGCTCTCTGCCCTCTGCCTCTCTGAAGCACTTATACCACTCAGACACACGGGTCCATGAGAGACACTCTTCCCCATAGTGTTGTTGGAGTCTGTGGTGAATTTCAGCAGATAGGATGTTTTCTCCAACGAGGAATTTGATCACAATGCGTTGTTCCATGCTCCGCGGTACATTCTGTTCGCTCATCACTCTAGCAACTCCCAGACAGGATTGAACAGGTTCTAACCCGAACAGGAGGGAGGGTGGAGATTGTGGCTTCACTCTCTCAAGGTCGCACAGCTGCTGCACAGTGCGGCTTGTTTACACACAACTCAGTCCCAGTCATACTTCTACCACCTTGTATTCAGTAAGTTCTTAAGCAGAGAAAGATATTATTTATAGACAAATTCCAGGAACTGTCTGAACACACCACATATGTGTTAGGTATTTACATATGTATGTGGTGTGATAAAGTAATTTCTGGATCATGAGATGATACTACTGCACATAGGACAAAACTTCCTTGTTAGGTGGATGAAGAGGAGAATCTGCTGGGTCTCTCACTGTTCATTTCAGGTTGTGGCTTGTATCACTCTAAAGTAACATCTTTTGGAGTATGTCTGTGATTTGCATTTCCCCCCTCAGAAAATTTCAGACTTCAGAGAAGAACCCATGTGCATCACTTCTGCCTTCCAAATAGGCAGAAAGGCTATGAAAGCCTATGAGACCTTAATAATTGCTTTCAGAGAGGAAACAGTGAGCATAATTCTTGATTCCTTTTGCAAGTTCAGAAGTGGAGTGACATCAGTTAACTATACTGAATGTTCAGAATGGTCATCCACAAGTAGAATAGATGCCAATGTGGTGCAAATCAAGGAACTTGTTTATGAAAACAGATGACAGACTACCTATGACTTGAGATTTAAATCTCATTTGGATTATGCCAAAACTTAACTTGGGACTGGTCACCGCGTAATTTGTGCCTCATCTGCTGACTAATAGGCAAAGACAGATTCATGTGCTACTTCAGGTCACAGGGAACTACTTCTAAGATATGGGATGGTGTATGGAAAGTGGAGTTATCACAGAGAAAGAAATGCAGTCCGGAAATTATGTGATTGCTCTTCTTTTTTATGTATTTGTATCAGATGAAATTTGGAACAGGTTATAGCCATCAGTTGTTATTTTACCTGGTATAGAATATTACAGAAAAAGTAAAGGTAACATAAGCTGGTAGTCACAGTCATTAAGTTTATTATTTAAGCGAACAAAAAAATGTGGTTTCTTTTCTTTCAAGCGCCCTGATATTGGCCGCCGTCTTTCCAATATGCCTCTTGACTCATATGTTGCTGTGAGAGGATGGGTGTACCCTCGTCCTCCTGGACAGCGTAATGTGGTAAATATAATTTGTAATCATTCCTGGGATATAACACCATATAATCCCTTGAAAGTCAACTGATGGTTTGCAGGAACATGTTTCCACCATCTTCAGGGTCAAATAAGCCAAACAAAAATCAGCATGAATTGGGTAGCAAACAATGCTTTATACTAGTTTCTTGCTTGCTTTATTCTTTGACCTCAAAGATGGCGGCCACATTTTCCACTGAAATGTCCACTGTCTTTTAAGAGACTGTACTGTGTTATATCCCAGAAGATATAACTCATCATAACCAATGCTATGAGAACATGAAATCCTACATGTAATTGTTCTTGTTTATTTGTACTTTAGCAGTGTTAGGTAATGTGTACATATTTCATTAATAGGCCAGGTGTGTATCTTTTGTATCCATATTCATAAGATTTTCCTTCCTTCTCTTTTTCTCTTAGCTTATGATGATTGTAACTTACCCAGTGTTTAGAAAGGACTATTGCTGTTATGGCACCATAATTGTGATATGTAATGGTTATAATACTGTGGCATGTCCGCTTAAAGCTGGGATAGTTTAATCAGAAGAGACGTCCGTTACTAGGTTATGCCACAATAAACAATGATGCAACAGTGGAATATGTCACACTATGCCACATAACCAATGGAAGTATCTCATCTGTGGGTCCACGCAGAGGCTATATCATGAGGACCAATGGGACAAGCGAGTTGAGAGTATAGAGAAGTTGAGAGTTGGGAATCTTCAGTTAACATTTGGGGGACACACCCATCAGAGGTCATCACATACAGTTGCCCCTGGTGGAGGTGTGGAAGGCAGTGGAGCTCCCACCCTTGTAAGTGATTGCATAGCTACACTGAGTATAGTGAGATAGACACCAGCCAGCGAGGACAGAAGCTGCTGAACAAGGAAGCTGAGGGATTTATGGCATGGGAAGTTATCAAGCACTGACTGGCGAAAACACAGCAAACTGAAAAGACTTAGTGAGTGCTGTACTGAATTAGTGACAGCACTATAGTTACTTGTAGATAAGATCTGTAACTGTTCAGTAAATCCAATTACCAATCCAAACCCCATTTATAGTCCCTCAATCATGTGACAATACATTTGCCCAAATACATTGCAGATTACAAGTTACATACATGGCCATTGCACAGACATTGTCAGTCTGAAATTCTTGATTGTAATTGCAATATTTAATTACTTACCTTACCATCTATTACCATGTCCATAAGGTTAATCTCATGATAAGATAATTATGTAACTAAATTTTACTTAAAGTTATTAGCTGTGGTATTGTTGTACAAATATAACCTTTGTTATTGTTATTGCTGGTATGATCGTTGTCATAGCTTGTTGCTAATTCATTCTATACATAAGCATGCATCAAACTTTCAGAGTACTTGGTTATCTGTGGTAATTTAAGGGCCCTAGTTTGATCACTGGCTACACCTCAGTATAAATTTTTCTGTGCGTATTTTGATACCTCTACTGCCGCTGAACCTTAGGCTTAGGGACTGTGGCAAATACCAGGATCAGTTCACTCTTTGATATCCATGATAAACTGTAGTACTTATCTGCTTTTCATCAGTGTAGTAGAATTTCTTTCATGGATGCTCCCCACCTCTGGAATAGAGGGAATTTCCCGCCAATATGTTTCAGCAATGTTTTTGGCATCTATATCAACGTTGGCAGACTTGCATAGCAGCCAACGGCAACTATTTTGAGGGTCGATGTGGATCTGTATAAGTGTATGTGAATACATTGTAATATGATGCGATAAAACCACAGTCCACGAAATTAATGACTGTACCACATATGTTGGACAATGAAGTATTAATATCTCTAAGTTTATTCCTTAATTCATCCTGTGCCTCCAAGCTTATGTATTTATTTCCATCTCATATCCATATTAAAATCAGCCTCCTGTTATGTTACAGAGGATGCCTACAGGTGGTATAGAAGTAATCATCAAGGAGTTCAGAATGGTCCAGCCAGGAAAAAAATCATCTGATAATGTATGTAACACCATACAGACAGACTTCTGTTGACCACCTGTATAAGAAATAAGTAGATTGCTCAGGTCTCCCTTGTTTCTTAATGCTTGTACCTTTGTAATGTTATTACTTTTCTGCAGAATAGAAAAAGTTTTTGAACAAGATGAGGAAACATGTTTATAATCTGATATGCTGGGCAACAAAATAATTAATTTTTATTTCACAAAGAGTGAGTTAAGAGCACATTTATGGATCACCTGCTATAAACAGCTTGAGAAAGCAAAACTGAAAGTACAGTCAGTGCAGAAAGTTAATGGAAAAATAGTCATGGCTAGATAGGGATTGGTTATGGTTAAAATGCCAGAAGGAGATTTTCCAATTATGTAACATTATTAAACTGACAGTGCCAATGATCATCTTTCTGTCTTATTCCATACTGTAATACCTCTGCAGCTGAAAGAGCATTGCTAAAAACCCAAGGAACCTATCACTTTTTATTCATTTGTGTTTATAAGATAATTGTACCTCGTATGTAAGTAAGCACTTCTCTTTTAGTTTTAAATACTGATAATGTCCTGTGTGAATTTGACTTGATTTCTTTGCAGGCTTCAAAATCAAACTCCAACAAAAATACAGATCAAAATAAGTCCCTGCCTACACATAACAGGCTTACAAGTGAAGAATTTGCAAAGTGTGGTAAGTTTGAAGTGCAGAAAATTGTTTGAAGACAGGAATTGGTTATTTTCAAAATGTTACAACTTAACCATCACTGTATTTGTCTGTGAACTTCTCCTTTCTGCTTATAATCCTGTAAAATTGTACTCTTATTTAAGTTTTAAGGTTATCCATATCATTGTCACTAGAGGAATCCAGAAACTGTTACAAGTAGATATACTTCAGATATCAACAGCTGTTGTAAAACACAGTTCATCGGAACGTAAGAGCATATTTCAATTCAGGAAATGCTTGCTACCGTTTAGTTAGAATCTTTTGTCTTGTGATGTCCTATCAAAGTATAAATGTTAAAATTTACAAAATATTATTTTATGTGTTATTTTGTATGGGTATGAATTTTGATCTGTCATGCTAAAGAAAAGAAAAATAGAATGAGATTGTGTGCAAACAAGACACTGAAGTAACTGTTTGGATCTAAGAGAGAAAGTAACAAGAGGAAGGAAAAATATTGCCTAATGAGGACTGACTGAATGTCTGTTGTCTTTTGAAGGAATATTCTGAGCCATGAAGTTAGTTGAACATGGATAGTATGTGTTTTGTTTTACTTCTCTTGTTCTGTTTCTTCTGCAGAGTCACCAAGTGTAACAAGTAGATTTGCGCGCCGAACACATACCTGTGGAGATTTGAATGAGGACACAATTGGACAAGAAGTTCATCTGTGTGGTTGGGTGGAACTAAAGAGGCTGGGACGGTTTCTTACACTGCGAGATGGTTATGGTGCAGCTCAACTTGTTGCGCCGAACAATGTAAAGAACCAAATCATTGTTATCTGTTATTTTGGTATGCTTTGAGATTCCTGTTAAAGATGGATGACTTTATGGAGGAGAAGTTTTCTGAATGAAGCCCTAATCATGTGTTTACGTTTATGATCTTGCAGTGAATAATACCTGCTTGGTGAGAGTTCAATATCATATTGGAATTTAATTTTTTAAGATGTTTTGAAATGTTACTTGTTAATAGCTGTGTGATATCCTGTAGAAACATATGTATGCTAACGTGTAGCAATATGTATGTTGGGCCTTATGTTACCAAATCTTTCTTTTGTAGTTGAATTTTTTGTTGAAAAATTAAATCACCTGGCTTCAAATTATGAGAAATTTTTTGAGTGCTTGACCTGTGATGGTATGTAAATTAAGAAGGTGCTGCTTGTGTTAATGTGTTCAGAGTTTTGGGATTATATATGGTATTGTCACGTTTTGGGGTTGTGACTATAGACAGGTTTAGGGTTGGATGATTGCATTTATTGACACCTTATACACTCAACTCGAAACTACAGCTGTCGCTGATCTACACATTTTACAGTTCACCATTATACACACACACACTAGTATTCTCAGTCTTCACTAGTCATATGCTGGCAATGGACTTATAGCCATTTTGCTGTAACTGCAGCACATATGAAGACTTCTTTTCACAGTCTAATCTTTTCTCAATCATTCAACTGCCGTCTCCACAGACTCTCTCAATTCTGATGTCTCGGTTCCTCTGCTCCCATACTTATATCCTGCAGGCTGGCATCTCAAAACTCAACTGCCTTGAATGATCTCCTTTGTCTTTTTATAACCCCTTGTCATGGACCAAACAGAAAACACAGTTCTTCTATTGTTGCATGAATTCGTCTCTGCAGAAATGTGCTTACCCAAGCACTCCGTAGCAGTGGATGTACACGTCAGATCTCATATTGTGACAGTTTTTCTGTTGCGTAGGCATTACCCAGCAACAGTTGTTTCTCTGGCTCCACAGTTCTTACTCTGAGCAAATATGCCACTGCATAAAATGTATGCGCATTTCGTTATACTCTTAAATGTGTTGCTCAGTATCGTTTGACATAATCACTGTACCTAAACAGAAAGGAAGAGCTTAGTAATCAGAAGTAGAAGTGCAGAAATATGCATGTTGTAACTGGGCACAAATCTCAGTTACATGTAATGTACTAAGAATTAAATCAGGTTAATGTATTTTGAGAAATAGTATCTTTTACACAATTATGGTTTTTACCTCATGTTGCAATATATGTGTGGTCTTCACAACTACTAACCATAATTTATTTATATCATGGTACCATGCAGATTAGATTAAAGTACATTACTTCTTTGAAGACATAAGCTTTAGATTCTGCTTACTGCCAAATACGGAATTTATAAATATTTCCAGACAATTTGGAATTATGTACAAACATAATGTTTACTAAAATGAATCTATTACTACTCACTTTGACGCATGTTCTGCCTCTTTTCCAGCGTCCAGATATTAGTCAGCAAATTGGTAATATTCAATTGGATACTGTAGTCACAGTAAAGGGGCTGGTGTGCGCTCGACCACCAGGACAAAGGAATGTGGTATGTTGATCCCGCAGTGTATAGAACATTTTATAAATCATGTCTTTACTTGTGTAAATGGAGCGGATGGCCACTTCCTGTCAACCCACTTGCATCAGCCAGTGACGGGTTTTGTAAACCTTAGGACTGAAAGAAATGTAGCACAGTAAGAATGTTACCAAAATTGTACTCATGTATCTAAGCATAGACTCCTGCTAGAGTAAAAAAGAATCTGACATTCTGGAGAACAAAAGTCATCATTAGAGTTTAAACCATGGATAAATTAGTTCTATAGGAGTGATTCTTGACTGTTAATGCAGGACTTAGTGTGAGTCATATCAGAAATATTTCATGCACATGCATACAGTGATTTAATGCATTCACTGCTGCTCAGCAATGTAGGGTTTGTTTTAAAAGCAGATGGTTGTTAATGTGTACTTACAGAGAATGCCGACTGGAGCTATTGAAGTGTCAGTAACAGAGTTGGAAGTTGTGAATCCCAGTGAGAAAATTGAACCTGCACTGCCTGAACCAACTATTGATCTGTCTATGCAGATACGTAACTTTTCTACTTCGAGTAATAGTTCACCTGAAGAAACAAAATCAATGAGTATGTCTCACTGAAACATAGTAACAATAGCTCTGTCCTAAGTTTATGTTCATAATAATATTATTAGTCCTAAAATGGATGCTGTTTCTTTGTTATGGCACCATATACATGCAGGCTGTATTACTGAAGTTCCAGAGAACCTTGCAATCTTCACTGTCAGGGTGATGCTACAATATAAAGGCTTCTGCCAATGCTGTTAGTACAGGTCCACAAGTGGTGGGAACCCCTCCATTTGATTCTCCTTGAAGAATTTCCAAAATGTTGGTTGTACATACTTCATCTGTATGGTGCCATCATACTTTAACAGGATTTACATTAGCACTGAACTATCTTGAAAGCCTGAAATGTAATGTACCCAATGTTGAAATAACAAAATGTTCAGTTTTATAGAATGTAAAAAAAAGTCATGCAGCAGACTTCTGGGGAAATGACAATTATATTCATTGCAATTAAATTTTGGTATATTGAAAGGTGATGATAAATAACAACTTGAAATTCGCTGGTTATATTAAGACCACTGTTTTTGGTTGCATGATGACATTGTGGGTCCTGGTGATATTAGCGAATGAAAAGAAAAACGTTGGGTCATAATATGCAACCGTTATGACGTGCACTAGCTGATCTGTGGTTGCAAGTGTAGCTTCTGTGGGAACAATGACCACCGTAAGATCAGCTGTACTACAGCTGGTTCAGGTAACACTTCCTTCTTTCTTCCCATACCCTTTATCAGCATATACCACATGACCTTTGAATGACTGGATCTGACTGTCAGCATACAGCAGCTCTGCTCCCAGCTACACCATTGCCACATTCTTCCATTGTTTGCATAACCTTATGCAAATCCTATTTATAGTCACAACAGACCTTCACAAAAATGTTTTGTAAAAATAAACAGAAACTAAAATAAATATAAAGTTTGCAGTTTGTACTGGCTATATTTCAGTTATGGTATTAATATAAGTACACAAACTACTTTATTTAATGAGTCATTTATCTTAAAAATTGAATTTTGTGATTTCTAATCAGCAGTGATTTTAAGTAAAAATAATCTCAACAGTTTCCTTTAACAATAACTATTCTAGGTAATCACTAATGGCATCATTACATTCAAGTATGTGATCTGGCACATCTTTTCATATTAACAAGAATTGTAGAGTGGCGGTCATGTCCACTGCCTTCTTGAGATTGTGGGATTTCTGCTGCTCAACACATTCTTCATTTTCCTCCTCAACCACTTGCTTTATCTTGTCATTGGCATTTGCTTCTTTGTTTTCTTCCCTCTCATCCAAAATAATCTGGATATCTTTCTTGGTAGTTTTCTTAATGATAACAATATTGCTATTGATTGTTATGGAGCTGCCAGTTGCATCTTCTGATGGAATCTGAATTTGAGTTGGTAATAAGCTCAAGCTCCCAGTCTTGATCCAATTACCAACCAGCACCATTAGAAACAGAAGAAGAGAACTTACCAAACACCTAAAAGAAGGACTGAAAGAAATGGCATAGTGTAACAGTTTCATTAACTTTGAATATAGCAGAGCTTGGATTCTAACCTTCAGTTTTAACCAGTAAACTATCAAACGTCAACAAATTATAATAGGTTACAGAATTTAGCAATGTACCAACTTATCAACAGTAATAGTTTCTTATCTGATGATAGTCACACTATCGACCAAAACTTGTAAAATGAGTTAAGTGGTGTGTATATATAAACCACACTGCCTGGGACATAAACTAAGTGTTCTGAAGAAAGGACTGAAGTGTTATCAAAATATATTCTTCATAAACTTAGCATGGAGATAATTTTTTTTTTAAATTCACTTAGTGGGGGGTGGAATCCAACTGGGTCACCTCGGCACGGTGGCCACTGATTGGCCTATTGTAGCCTGCTCTGGGTGATTATGATGATGGAGAATTTGGTGGAATGAAGATTGGCAGGGGAAACCGAAATGGCCCCAGCACCACTTTGTCTACCACAAATCCCACTTCTCCAGACCCAGGATTAAACCCGGGCCACCGTGGTTAGAAGCCAGCGACTAACTGCTTGAGCTGTGGCGTGGCCCTAGCATGGGGATAACTTTCCACAAATCTTGCATAACTGCAGCTTGGAATCACTTCCCACAGTTCTGTAATGCTAGCATGGGTATTGCTTATCACAATTTTTCTGTAACCCCAACAGGAATCACTTCCCACAGTTCTTCTCTTATGCTAGCATGGGATTTTTCTGTAATCCCAACATAGGAATCACTTCCCACAGTTCTTCCATTACTCTAGCACGGATATAAATTATTTTTCAGAATGCTGCATGTGGGTCATTTCTTTTTGTAGAAGCAGTTCCAGGCACCAACAGATTCACTCAGCGTACTCATACTTGTGGAGAGTTGCGAGACTATCACATTGGACAGGAAGTAAGATTGTGTGGGTGGATAGAATATCAGCGCATGGCAAAATTTGTCACCTTGCGAGATGCTTATGGCTCCACGCAACTTGTTGTGCCTGATGATGTAAGTAGTTATGTTCGTTGTGTTTGCTTGCTAAAGGGAAGGTCATGGTAAAGTAAACAGTTGCATATTGTACACCTGCACAGACACGCGCGCACGCACACATCTTATTCAGTATTTTATCTGTGGTTATCTGTAAGGGTCATTTCATATCAAGTCATTACAGGTCCCCATCAAAATTCAGTGAGATTTGGTGAGGTAAAACCCTTTGTGGTGTAAGTGACTATGCCAATTTTTAGACTTTTAAGTGTGATGGGTTTTGGTTCATTTGTATTTGAAGAACATAATTTTAGGGTTGAACTTGGTTTTTAAATTCCTTTAACTCTGTCCCTGACTGAGGAATGAGGATCAGATTAGTTTAATCTGTTGTTCTGTTGTTTCGGGCATTACCTAGCAACAATGGTCGTTTAGGGAGTCACCACATAGGAGGGGTTCTCTACACCACAGTATAAACCAAGCAGAGCACAAGCCATCTGTGAGAATAAAGACAAACATTAAAAACATTAAAAAAGTCAACACACATGAGACCGAGTACCTATGTCCATGTGCTTCTTCATGGTTGCTGTTGTTAAAATCAGAGTACTGTCAGAATAGAAGTCGTTGCTAAAGAGACAAATTCTCCTTATGGTACCAACATAAAAACACAATTTCCACACATGGTCTACACTGAGTTGTGGTTTTCTGATTTTTGCTGCAATAATGGGAATACTGTCTTGTGGGATATAATGCCATGTAGTCCATCTAAAGTCAATCATCATTCCAGAGGAACATTGTGCTTCCATCTTTAGGGTCTATCCTGAAGATGCAGGCGTTATGTTCCTCCAGAAGGTTGGTTGACTTTCAGTGGACTACATGGCATTATATCCCAGAAGATAGTACTTTTTTTTTCTTGCTAAAATGTAGAAATCTCAGTAAATGACAGATGTTTCTTTGTGTTTCCATTAAAAGCAAAAAGATGAACTGTCCTAACATGGAACAGTAACCATTTCATGTGTCCCTTTGATTGTGTGCCATTTCAATATAATTAATAAAAACAAGAAAATCTGTGTGTAGTTATGTCAGGCAGTGGGAAGCATCCTTCATGAAGTGTGTTCAAGTACTTGTCTCTTCTGCCAACAGTTGCAAATTTGCAAGGAAAAAGAGCCAGAAAATGCTAAGTGGGTTTCAATGTTTAGTAATATGGGGTGCCTTATTTTGTCTTAAGCCATTTGAGTTTTAACCCTCTGCAACTCTATAGATTACAGGAGTAGAAGATAAAGATTATGTACTGTCAGTCCATTGTGTGTGGTATATCACTGTGAAGCCTTCCCCTTTGCTCACCCTTCTGTTTCAAAATTATACTGAAATCAGTTCTTGTGCTGTGACTTCATCCCAAAGTCTCTTTGAAGCCATTCCTGTATCTTTCACCCAGAAGGTATGAAACAAACTGCATCTCATATTGTCATGTTCAAACAGGTAACTCTGACGTTCATAGCCTTAGTTAGTGTTACATTGTGCCCATAAGAGATTACTCCCTGAATGTTGAACTGGGATGATATTTGTGTGAATCATTTCTGCCAGTTCCTTACACTGAATATTGTTGACAAACAAATGCAGTGGCAGTAAACAGTATTTTTATTTTTCTCAGTGTTCAGGGAATTTGGAATAGTTCCATTTTGCACTAAGTGATTCAAGAACATAACCTTCTAGTGGGTCTGACAAGATTATGTTCTGTTTCTAAAAGCTGGTAACAAATGCAGCATTCATCAGCAGAATTGTTTATGTAGTGCCTCTCCCCTTCAAGACTGATAGACTATTCATTTCCTGAAACACAGTTGGGTTTTGACACAGTGAATGATATGATGCATTAGCAAACTCTTACTATGTACAGTTCTTCTAAAGGTTCTCTGAAGCAAGCAGCAAATATTTTCTAGAAGGAACAATTGAAACATGAAAATAGTCAAAATAATTTTACAAGGACATAAACTAAGTTACATGTAAAAAGACTAGTTGTTCCAAATTTCATGCATGGCTAAATGGATTCATTAATAACAATCTTGTTTTTGTTTGAATTTTCTAGCTGTTTGGCATTTCAGTAGAAGACTATTGCAGCTGTAGGTAACAGGAATTTAAGTGTTCCATATGATAAAAACCAATATCTAAGGTAAAATAAGTAAAGGTATCCCTGTAACAGGCCATGGAGGCCCATAGGGTTGTGAGATGTTGAGGTTTCCACATTTTCTAGACAGTCAGCTCATAGATGCTGGCAAGATTGTCAGGCTTACGCGCCAGCCGCCCTTTACCCCCAAGAATATTCCTTATGCTCATTTCTGTTAGAGGCTGAGTTGACCCCGGGACCATAGTGCGGCTGGAAGGATTATGTAAATTGAAAAAATCCACCTCATCGGGATTCGATCCCTCAACCTTCGGCTTGTAGCATAATACCTCAACCAACTACGTTACCACATGCGCCACCAATATCTAAGGAGGTAAAGTTAAATTCTAAGAAGTAATGGATCGTCAGTAAACTATTATTAAGAATATTAATTAGTGGACTTAGGAGACTTAGGCACATATGTGGGGATATTAAAAATGGAGGCAGTAGTGTGAGTGGCAGTCATCTGGCTTAGAATATAGAATCCATTGTTAGGCTCTTTGGAACATGGTGTGAATATTTGGGCTTCATAAATTCTGCTCCATGGACTTGTTAATGAAGATGATGATTGCAATGAATTGGATATGGGCTGAAGTGGATTATGTTTATTGAAATTGTAGAAATGTGGGAAAGTTTTGCATGGGTTTGGAAGTTAGCATGTAAACCTTACAAATGAAGGTGATTGTGTCCAGTACATGGTTTTTCTCATGTAGTAGAATTGATTAATACTCACCTTTTTTTCAGAGAAAAGATATTGTCCAGCAGCTGGATAATATTCCATTTGAGTCAGTAGTTGCCACGAGTGGTCTTGTGTGCCGTAGACCACCAGCCCAGGAGAATCTGGTACGCAGAAATTATGTTGTTTGTGAAAGAGTAGTCATTTCTGTAGCAGGTGCTGTAGAAACTTATGGATGTGAACATATTTTGTCAATAAAATAAAATAAAAAATTGGAACAAAGAGAAATCAAAAGGCAAAATTCAAAAATAGATTTTAAGTGATGTGTTTTATGTTTCCCCTGACTCAGCAATTGGACATCTAGTGTTTATTATTACATATGACAAATGGAATATTTGCCTTTTTCATTTGGAGCTCTCAAAGCTGTGAATTAGTTGATAAAGAGGAAGCGTCACTCTGCATTACATGTGCGAGGACTATTAACTACGTGGGTGCATAGTATTCTGATCAGATAAGAGAATGTTGGGTTTGAGGTTCTTTCTCTTCAAATCATGGGATTCTCACTTGCACATGTTTGTCTATTCGCACGTAGCACTTTTCTGTGTAATTTTTATTCCAACTTGTTTTGTTTGTTTGTTTGTTTTTTTTTTGTATCTGTTAGCCTAAATGTGCTAATTTACAAGAGTAATTCAAATAGAAGCAGTTGCTATATTGTAACATACTTTAGGCCACAAGTTTCTGCTTTATTTTATGTTGGCCCACAAGCCATATATATGCACTGCATCTGTCAGTGTGAGCCAAGGTGCCCATGATTTCACAGTTCGAACATGACACTATGTGTAGTAGCATCATGCACTAAATTAGAAACGCAAGATATTCTGTGTTTGGCTATGTTGAGAAACAATCTGAATTACTTGCACTGTAAAACTGCAATTATTTTTCAGAATGTGTGTGTGAGAAAATTTACATTATATGTTACTGCTGATATATGGAAACTGGTTAAAGTTGATATTAGCCGTCTAAGCTTTACCAGAATGAACAGCTGAAGGGAGACTGTACCTATCATTATCTGGACATCACTGATTAATGCTAAATGAAAACAGGCTTTGAAACATTACTAGATAGCAATAAAGGACAATTATTATTCAAATGCAAAAGACTGATGACTCACAGATTTTGAAACAACTTAGTGTTTACTCTTTTCAAGTTAGTAATTATTTTTATACAGACAGCATTCTAATAATTTTAGATAGTGATGGGATCAAGGCATAAGGTCTGGAGCCTGAATTAGAGAAGTTAAAACAGCTCAGTTGTTATTATTATGACATAGTAAAAGTGGAACAGGGTTTGCTCCTGTATGATGAACTTGAAATGAAGAACAACTCCTTACATTTGAGCAGTAGTACTTATTGATTCCATATTTTGCCTTATACACTGCGCTCAAAGCATATGCTTTGAGGTGGCAAAGGTTAGGGAAAGACTGGCAGTGAGCAAACAAACAACACACAGAGTTCATATGGAGGGGTTCAATCTCAAAAAATTAAATGAGGTAGAGGGTAAAGAACAGTATTGTGTTGAAATCTCAAATAGGTTCAAAGCCTTGGAAAACTTGGAAATTGAGGTGGATGTTAATAAAGCTTGGGAAACTATCAGAGAGAATATAAAAATGTCTGCCAAAGAGAGTCTAGGTTATTATGAACCGAAGATGCATAAGTCATGATTCAATGAAGGATGCTCAAAATTATTAGATCAAAGAAAGCAGGCCAAATTGCAATGGTTACAGGATCCAAGTGAGTCAAATGGGATAATCTGAACAATATAAGACGTGAAACCAGCAGGCATTTCAGGAATGAAAAGAGGAAATATTTGAAAGACAAAATTGATGTGCTTGCAATGAATAGTAAGAACAAGAACATAGAGACTTGTATAGAGGAATAACTGACTTTAAGAGGGGTTACCAGCTTAGCAGTAACTTAATGAAGAATGAGAATGGTGATCTGCTTGCAGATTCCCACAATATTTTGAATAGTTGGAGGAACTATTGAATGTACATAGGGTCAGTGATGTCAGGCAGACAGAAATCCGTACAGCTGAGCCGTTAGTACCTGTTAGTTAGTACCCTTTTGAGTTTGAAAGTGCTATTGCAAAATTGAAACTGTATAAATTGCCAGGTAGTGATCAAATTCCGGTAGAACTTATTAAAGCAAGAGGTGAAATATTATATTCTAAGATCCACAATCTAATTACTTCTATTTGGCATGAGGAAAAATTGCCCGATCAGTGGAAGGAGTCTATTATTGTAACAGTTCACAAGAAAGGTGATAAAACTTACTGTAGTAATTACCGAGGGATATCACTGCTATCAACTTCATACAAGATTGTATCCATTATTCTTCTCTCAAGGTTAAGTCCATATATAGATGAACTTATTGGGGATCATCAGTGTGGGTTTCGACGTAACAGGTCAACTACAGATCAGATCTTTTGTATTCGTCAGATATTGGAGAAAAATGGGAGTACGATGAGACAGTGCATCAGCTATTCATAGACTTCAAGAAAGCCTACGATTCAGTTACGAGGGAAGTACTCGTATTGTGCAATATTCTGGTAGAGTCTGGGATACCCATGAAACTAGTTAGATTGATTAAAATGTGTTTAAACGAAACGTATAGTAAAGTCCATGTAGGTAATACATTTGTCTGATAAATTTCCTATCCAGAATGGTCTAAAACAAGGAGTTGCTTTATCACCACTCCTTTTCAACTTTGCTTTAGAATATGCCATTAGGTAGGTCCAGGGAACGAGGTGAGACTGAAATTAAACGGGACACATCAGTTGTTGGCCTATGCCAATGATGTGAATCTACTGGGTGATAATGTAGATACCATAAAGGAAAACACACACACTTTAATTGATATAAGTGAAGAGGTTGGTCTAGAAGTAAACACAGAAAACTAAATATATGTTGCTGTCTTGTCATCAAAATGCAGGGCAAAATTGTGATATAAAGATAGGAAACATATTTTGAAAATGTGGCACAATTCATATATTTGGGATCAACAATAACAGATCAAAACCTGATTCAGGAGGAAATTAAGAGGAGATTGAACTTTGGTAATGCTTGCTATCATTCAGTCCAGAACCTTTTGTCTTCTCGTCTGTTGTCCAAAAACATAAAAATTAGAATATACAAAACTATAATTTTGCCTGTGGTTCTGTATGGGTGTGAAACTTGGTCTCTGACATTAAGGGAGGAACATAGACTAAGGGTGTTTGAGAACAGGGCGTTGAGGAGAATATTTGGACCGAAGAGAGATGACGTGACAGGAGGTTGGAGAAAACTGCATAATGAGGAGCTTTGTAACTTGTACTGTTCCCCAATTTTATTAGAATGATCAAGTGAAGGAGGATGAGGTGGGCAGGTCATGTAGCACGAATGGGGGAGACAAGGAATGCGTATAGGATATTGGTGGGAAAGCCAGAAGGAAAGAGACCACAGAGAAGACCAAGGCGTAAGTGGGTGGACAATATTAGAATGGATCTTGGAGAGATAGGATGGGATTGGATGGATTGGATAGATCTGGCTCAGGATATGGACCAGTGGAGGGCTCTTGTGAACACGGTAATGAACCTTCGGATTCCATAAAATGCTGGGAAATTCTTGAGTATCTGCAGAATTGGCAGCTCCTGCAGAAGGGCTCAGTTCCATGAGCAAGTAAGTAAGCTACAAGAAAAGTGACGCCATGTAATGTGGTAGGTGGTTTTAAATGTTCCTCCAAAATGTTGGCAGCCCCCTGTCAGACAACACAGCAGCCACACAACACTCAACCCAGAAGTCCAAAATATGAATAAACTTGATATGTTCACCAATATAAATGATACTGTTACCTAACCATGTAGAATGAATTATAGTGTTTATCTACACAAAAGACATCTGTAGGCAGATTACCTGATTTACAGACTAATCATGGGACTTTAAAACTTCTTAGTCTTTGATTACAGCTTCATATATCAATTTAAATGTTCACTGTTATGTCTCTTTCAGTAATATGTATCAGCGATACTTTTATGATTTACAGTAGACTGTATCTTATCACCTTGTTGCAGTTTTGTTTTATTGTTTATTGCTTTTCATATGGCCTACCAATAAACAAGGCTTCTGTTTTGCTAATGGAGGGATATTTATCTCACTATTCAGGGGCCAGTAGTGCCGACAGTAAGATTCTCCCCTCTGTTGTCACAGAAAATTTATAGTTCACTCTGTGTATATTTGTTTCTTTTTATCTTTCCAGAATATGCCAACAGGAAGTGTGGAAGTTGTCTTAAAAGAATTTAACGTCATCAACCCTGCAAAAAAGCAGCTGCCATTTGTCATTCGGGACTTCCACAAGGTTAATGCTGTCATTGATAAGTGTAAACTGGAAAGTTATGCGGGTTATTATGAGCAGTTCTTGAAAATGTGTGTGTTAAAATGAGAACTTGTGAAAATGTATGACATGTTTCATTAATTAGCAGTTGTGTATGTGTAGTGTAGTGTATGTGTGTGATACCAGTATCCTTTTTTAACAGTTTTTTCTTTCTAAAAGCAGGGAGCTTCATGGCAATAAAAATTTAACCAGTAACCACGGCAAAGATTTCAGGCATACATAGTAGCATTTGATATATGTTAAAAACTGATTCATTCAAAGTTACAATTACATTTTCAGAATCCAATCCAGCTTTCATTAAATATACTATAATCAAGAGTTGGATATTTTTCCAGATAGCTGTAATGGCACTCATTGTATCAAGAACAATTCAGTTTCAAATTTCAGAAATGTGTACAACTGTATCTGCCTCTCTCACACATTTCCTCAAATATTATCATTTCGTATAGTGGATTATTTCATCATCCCGTAGTTATAGGTATATTATTGTGTTATTGTTCAGTCTGAGGCCTTTGCAGTTTTACGCTGTGTGTCTGTCCTTAGGTAGGACTTTATGACTGTTGTAAAACAAATAGCCAGTCATGAAAAAGTTTTCCTGTGATACATGAATTACTGTTATTCACATGTGGGCATGGTATGTGTTCCAGTGCTTAAAATTATCAGTGAAATTTACAGTTACATGTTAAGGGGGCAGGCGCTTCTCAGTCCCATTAAATTAGTGGAAACAATAACTGTAATTGTCACCTCTCCACTTCAACAGATTTTGGTTTTAAGAGCCAGTTCATTACTAAACATCGGAGTAGCGTACAAATTAATTGGGACAAAATTAAAAAAAAAAAAAAAAAACTAGAATTTTTGACATTTTATTATTGTAAGACTTCAAATGCAGTTGTCTCCCATAGTTTTAGTAAGAAATGTGTCCCCCTTTTGCTAAAATGACCTCCTGGACAGGTTTGGGTATTGAGCAAATGTTTTTCACTCCAGTGTTGTGGAACCACACTTTTGACATGTTTGTTACCATGTGTTCTTCAGCTGAACAGTCCATTTTACCAGACATTTCTTCCGTATGCTCCACAAATTTTTGATTGGGTTCATGTCTAGAGAATTACCAGGCCAATTGTGCTGCCAATTTTGTTTTCTTCAATGAACATCTTGACAGTTTTGGAGTTGTGGCATGGTGCAAGGTTGTGTTGAAATGTCCCTTTACCATCTGCAAAGGTCTGCAGGAATGGTAAGACTCTGCTTTTAAGGATTTCAATGTACTTTGATGAATTCATCATGCCATCAACTAGAACTAGACTCCTAGGACCACTTCTAGAGAAAACCCCTCAAGCATTTTCTTTAGAAGGTATTTTACAGTCTGCTGAAGATGCTCCACTCTCACTGGTTCATCACTACTTCATCTGACAGCACTTGCTCTGTAACCTTGAACAAAAAATGTGATTCATCACTGAAAGCCACCTTCTTCCAGTCATCAGTTGTCCACAATCTGTACCTATTTGCCTATGCCAACCATTTCTACTTCATAGCAGGTGTGAACAGTTGAATGAATGAATGAATGAGGGGTAGGCCTTCTCGGCCCTTGCACTGCGACCACAGTGGCCTATTGTGCTTCCCATTTTTCAATTATTCCCTCAGCAACCCCGTGCTTCGAATGAAATGCAGGATTTTGTACATGGGGGCATCAAAATAGTCACTTGGTTCCATAAAGTATTGACCCAAGTGACGTCTTAAATAAGCTAAGGCCTCACATTCACACAGGATATGTGTGGCTGTTTCATTTTCTGTCTGACACCTCTCACAAGCGGGACTATCACTTAGTCCCAGTTTGAACAGGTGTCCTTTGAGGTGACAGTGTCCTGTAAGTAGTCCTACCACCCATCGTAGCTGGTTCCTGTTTAGCTTCAACAGTTCCTTCGCTCTTTTAGTGGAAGGTCCTTGTGTGAGTCCCTTAGCTTGCCTGAGTCCAGTTAAGGATCCCCAATATTTCTTATGTTTTATGTTAGTCCAGTCCCTGATTGCCTGTTTGGCAACTCCTATAGAGATGCCACAAGCTAGTTCAGGTCCTATGAATGGATGTTCAGCTCAGTTTTAGCTAATTGGGCTGCTGCTTCATTTCCAGCAATACCCTCATGCCCCGGCACCCATATCAGTTGTACCCTGTTATGTCCATGATTTATTCTGACCGTCTTACAGTGCATACATTTATTCACCTTACTCTTCTCTCTTGCACTACATGTTTCAGCACCAAGGTGCCATCTTCAGGTGCTTTTCGATGTACGTCGAACTACTTCATTGCATGCCCTGTTGTCTTTATACTAAAATAACTAAACTATATATTCATCATATATATTGATAAATTTTAAATATTAAAAATATTAAAACTGTTCCGGATTTGTCATCCTTATCTCAATACCCGAGTCACACCTATCTTCTTCTGTCGGAGTATTCTTCCTACTTTCATGTGTGTATTGTGCTTTGTGTTGTGTCTTGCTCCTGTGACTGCGTGTGTTATACTGCTGGGCCTGCTGGGTATGTGTGTGCTGAAACATGTAGTGCAAGAGAGAAGAGTAAGGTCAGTAAATGTATGCACTGTAAGACGGTCAGAATAAATCATGGACATAAATCAGTGCAACAGGACGCTAAAATATAACAGTACCCTGTTATGTTTGGCCAGTTCCATGAGGGTTTGATGGCAATCTCAGAGCAATTTTGAATTGATCTGGTGTTTGGCAAGCGCTTTAAGTGCAGCTTGGCTGTCCTATCTAAATTCTCCATAATACATGCCTTAATGGCATAAACTTCAGCCTGGAATACTGTCGTGTTCTGCCCAAGGCTGAAACTAAGTTTCCGCCTCGTGCCATGGCAGTACACACCAGCTCCAGTGCCCTTATTTATCTTTGAACCATCCGTTTACCAGATCAGTCCCCCTTTTCTATTGGGCCAAAACCTGTCTTCCCATTCACTCCTGTCAGGAAATCTGACTGTGAAGGGTTTTTCATATACATGTCTCAGTATCATTTTGTCAGACCCCATTTGTAATATGGGTTCTTTTTTCATGTCCTGAGTTATGTATGCATGGTTGAAACCATCGGATCTAGGTTTCCATTGTTCACTGCACTGGAGACGCTAAATTCCTGCCCTGGTCTCTGCCTCCAACTGTAAATGCAGTGGGGGGAGTCCAAGGAGTATCTCCTGTGCAGCTGTTGGAGATGTTCAAAATGCTCCTGTGATACCTAAGCAAGCCAACCTTTGCAGTTTGCTAAGTTCTCTCTTGCTTATCTTGAGTTTAACTCTGGGCCACCATATTGTGGCACCATAAGTAATTATGGGTCTCACAACTGCAGTATAATGTATAATGTGTGGCTGCAGTCCCCAAGTTTTACCAAACATGCTTCTGCATGTCCAAAAAGCCTTATAGGCTTTGTTAATGATGTCCAGCTGCTTTTCCCATGTCAGTCCCTTGTCTAATTCTAGACCAAGGTACTTGACGTCGCTGGAGAGCTGGATTGTCTTATTGAAGGGAGTCAGTTCCTTAAAACCCTTTATATTTCTCTTCCTTAAAACCCTTTATATTTCTCTTCCTAGTAAACGGTATAATTACCATCTTATTGGGATTGATGGACAGACCTGTTCTTTCACACCATTGTTGGACCATGTACAGAGCTGTTTGAAGACGCTCTGATACGGTCAAAAGGAATTTTCCATTTATGAGGATTGCTATGTCATCAGCATATCCTACTGTATAATACCTATCATCATTAAGTCCCCACAGGAAATCGTTGACGACCAGACTCCACAGAAGAGGCGAAAGTATGCCCCCCTGCGGACATCCCCTAGACGCGGACGCCCCCAGGGTTTTTCCTGATAATGTAGCAGCTATGTTTCTGCTTTCCAGCATAGCATTGATCCATCTGCATATTGCAGACTCTGTGCCATGCCTTCCAGCAGCCTGTTTGAATACCGTATTTACGCATGTATAGGCCGCACATTTTTTGCCAAAAATTCAAGAGGAAAACTGGGGTGCGGCTTATATTCAAAATATTCGAAATCACACTTCATTTAAAAAAAATTATATTCATAATTAGTAATACATTAGTAATATTAGTAATAATATTAATAGTAATAATAGGCATGTTTATTTCGGTGTAGAGGATATATCCTCAATATCCCGTCCATGATATTTCTATCTCCTAGTTTCGCCATCGTTTTCAACAAGAAAGACGGCAGGCTGACAGGATGGTAAGCCTTAGCCTCGGTATAATCAAGTTTCCCAGGCTTTGGAATAAACGTCACCTTAACTTGCCTCCAGGCTGTGGGGATGAAACCATATGCCATGCAGGCTCTACTCGTATATATGTGGCATAGGCGTGGAACTAAAAGTTCCGCCCCAAGCTGCAAAAGTGCCAGTACAATTCCATCTATTCCCGCTGATTTAAATGGTCTAAAAGAGTTCAGTGCTCATCTGATTTTTTATTGATAAATTATGACTTTGGCTAGGTTCCAGTCTACCCTGTTTATCTTGCTTTGGCAAGTGTCCAGGTTTTGCTGACCCTGTCTATCGTCCAAATTTTCAATCAATTTTGAATCAGGAAAGTGATCCCTGAATAATTCATTCAGTGTTTCCCTTCCTGTTTGAGTATACTGTCCGTTAGGCAGCTTAATTGTGCTGACCTTGTTGGTCGCCTGTTTTGCCATGATTCTCATGAGTCTGGCACCGCCTGGTACATCATTGATCTCCTGGCAGTGTCTCCTCCATGAGGATTGCTTGGCTTTCCTTATATATTTGTTGTAACAGGTAAGGGCTTCCTTGTAGGCATCCCACTGCCCTGTTCTTCTAGCTGTATTGAACACCCTTCTTGTTTTGATTCTAAGCCCACTCAGCTGTTTATTCCACCAAGGCATTCTCCTTGGTCCACGAGTGGTCTTAGCCGGACAGTTCTGATTAAAGGACGAGATTATAG